CCCCAAAACCCCAAAACCCCAAAACCCCAAAACCCCAAAACCCCACTAGCAAGGAAATAATAAAATTATTTCATAACTAGATAAATATTAAGATGATGAATTTAAGAGTCGATGAACTGGATGACGGATACTCCGAAAATGGGGATGATGTCGGTGATTACTCCTGGTTCGTCGAAGAAGAAAAAGATGATGAGATCATTGATGAGGAAGAATCTGAGGAGCAAGAGGAAGAAGACGATGAAGATGAGGAGGTCAAATACAACATAAGCGAATCGGACGACGGTTCTTGTAGCGGTGATAATAACGAAAACAAAATGCTCAAAGCCCACTTGTTTAAGAATAATCTGTATGAGAGTGAAGAATTATCTCAAGGAATGCCGCTTAGGGCATCTAGTGCTCCAGCCAGGCCACTGACTGAGCTTGAAGACTTTCGAAGATCAAATGATTTCTTGCTACTTGAAAATGCAGTGATGCTCTCTTCAAAGTTGATGAAGAGGAGTGATAACAAATATGACTTAGACTCTTCTGAGGGGCAAAGGATATGCAAAAGGTTTTTGAGCCAAATCGAAAAGCTGTGCGGGGTAAGTTAATTTCCTATAAATCTCTTGAAATACTGATATAAGGTATTTATGTTACAAATTTAGAGCTACACAGTCAAGACTTCTTCAAGAGAATATAGGAGTGAATTCTCCCAAGCGTACAGGGTTCTATTCGTCGACGCTTCTTTGAGTTATTTGACTGAAATTTTAGACTCAGCACAGGAAGGGTTTCCTTTCCTTTATGTCAATGGTGAAAAGTATATGTTTTCGCAAGATGTGCTGGAGGCAGGGCAAAAATTATTTCATGGTTTTTGTGAGATTCAGCATGTAATTAAATAATATATATTCTCTCGCTTGTGAGGAGAATCCCCACGCTTCTGTTGAGGAGATTAAAGAAGATATCCGAGCAAACTTGGAAGCCTTTGATAAATACTGGGTCACTTTTGAGCAACTCTATGTCTTTGAGCTTATGCTAATCGAAGCTGATGCCAGACGTTATATTACAGATGCTGTTGAAATTGAAAAGGACTTGATTTCTATGGAAGCGAAGGAAAAATTAAAGGGGAAAATATTTTTGGACAGCGAGGAATACAACAATGCACGTAAAAAGTTAGTTAAAGTTATCGGCCAGATTAATTCAGTTGCTAATCCTGAAGGGACTGGGAGAGATGATCTTGGAATTCAGATTCTCATCAAATCGGAACATTTGATCCGGACTGTTTCCGCTACCCAATCTACTGCGGTTAGGTGACTGGCAGAGAAGATTAAGAAGACTTTTAAGGACCTTAGGGCTTTGTTCAAGAAATATCAGCAAAATATAGAGGTAGTGGACCCTCAATTGAGAAACAACCCTGATCTGGTAGATGCATTATTTGCATATGAAAATTCTTGGGAGAAAGGTGCTGCTTACTTCACTGATTCTAAGAAATGACAGCAGCTGCTTCATTTTTCGCAAAGAATTGAAGCATTGAAGGAGAAACATTCGAAGTTTGCGAACCAGATTGAAGATAGAGATGCTGAAATATTTGTGTCTATTCCTTCTATCCTAGTGCTAATGGCAACAAATAATGAAGATAAGGGTCTCTGAGCGACCTTTTGACCGGATATTTTCAAAATTGAGACTAAGTTAAACCAAGTTTTGAAAGAGCTCAAGGAGCTATTTGGAGGAAAAATGATATGAGAAGACTTCGAACTATACAATTACATTGAAAAAACAATCCTTGATATGGATCTTCCTGACAACCTTAAAGAGAAGGTCAAGGACCAGGAGCTCAAAATCGAGCTGATCTTGCAGAAGATCAAATGGCTATCTATGCAAGTGTCAAGACAAGATCCTACGGAATGGAATCTATTTCTTGATGTATTACTAATGTCATAGCACGTTCTTATCTTTTCTTGAATATTATATGAGCTTCAAGATTGCTGAGTTAAATAGGGGTTTTGGGGTTTTGGGGTTTTGGGGTTTTGGGGTTTTGGGG